TAATAGTGAAGTAAGTGAAATACAATACTTTTACAATGTTCCCTTTGTTATAATTTGTACTCCCACATTGTTGGTCAGTTTTCTGGCCTAGAGAGTAGGTGGTTTCCAAAATTATTCATGTAAGTTAAATGAATTTATTTTGTAATTCTTTGAAAGGATGCAATCAGACACTGTTCAGAGGAGAGCTATTTCTACTAAAAGTGGAATTTAACAGTGATAAAGCACAGGAAGAACTGAAGAGAGGCAAAAAAAATAAGAGGCATGTCCCCAACGATCTTGCCTGTGGTAAATGACAGCAATAACGTCAATGGAATTTCTACACCAATCGCTAAAAATGATCTGTTAACAAATAAATGCAAAGTGATCTCAAAGAAACCAACACTACTCTGTGAAGTCAACCCTAATCTGGACAAAGTGCTTAATCATGCCTATGTTGTTGATTATATGTTACTTTAGAAAACAGAAGAATCCTGGCATCTGTAATTACATTTGAGTTGGTAGTTGACAGCAAGGCACCAAATTATTTGAAATGAATTTTTAGGCTAAAAGTCAGTATGCTAAGATATACTCGAGACTATACACAATCAGGAAGATCTGTTTATAAAATATGGTGTAGATTTTTACTCTCTCTCAAGGGGTGCAGTGAGAAAGTTGCAAAACAGCCGCAATACAAGAATTTTCACCTATAGCGTGTTTCCAGAGATTTTTCTGAGTGTTATCTAAGGCTTCCTTGTGCTAGAGGAATGAGGGAACACAGTCTCTGAAAAGACTTTGGCTTGCCTTAAAACGTGACTTCCATATTTTGTAAACTGAGTGATTCTAGTTCTCTTCAAAACAAAATCACTATTATAGTGAGGTTCACAATGAACCCTCTCTGATAAAAGTAGTCTCTTTTATGTCCTGTCTTGACTAAAGGAAAGATTACAACTCCCTCCAGATATATGTTTGACTCACCAGGGGTAGCTCTTGATTTTCTTTCCTCAGATATATAATCACACAACCAAATCCTACTCTGTTATGGTAAAGGATAACACCCAGAAATCTGACTTAATTTTATCATGCTTCCATACAAACTGGCTAAGGGACTCTAAAATTACTTGTTACCCAGGGACTGTTTCTTCTGCCTCCTATTTCCCCCACGGTAACTGGGAATTCCAATTTTGGATTTATCAAAAAAAGATCTGTGAGTTTTAAAGGTGTGCAAGGAATCCAGGAACATTACTAATGATTTTAAATATTTTGGATCTTTGTAACTGTTGTTAATCTCATACTCACTAATCAAGCTTGCTGTGGAATATAATAGCACACATTCTTTGGCAAAATAGAAGCTAAAGATTATCGTGTCCCAAATGCTAAACTAACAACAGCACCATCTAAATAATCCCCCCCTTTCCCCCTTATTATATAAATACTGAACAATTAAGAAGTTTCTGACAGCTTATGAAAACAGTCTTCTTTGCATTTAGAAACCCTAACTTCAGAATTTGAAGCCAATTTCTGAAATAAACAGACAAAAAAAGAGGAATGAATTATTTCAATCAGTCTATTATCAAAGAACACAAGTGTGCTATTAATTTTGCTTCAGTTTATTGTGTGATAAATTTAACAAATGTTTTAAAATTCTGCTTAAAACAGGTAAACATGAGAAGTGCCAAGGGAGGAAAAAAAAAAACAACTGAGTGAAAATAATCACAACAAAGATGCAAATCTTGAAGAAAACCTCAAACCACAATTTAGAACAAATCACATAAACATTAAATCACAAGCCAAATGTTTTTTTTCACCAACCCCCAAACCATTTCTAATTAAAAGCAAACTGTGTATTTACAAATCATTAAACTAGAACAAACCAGCAACATCAAAATACTTCCATTGCTCTACCAATATTTATATTACTAATAAAGACACAAGAATCTTTTCAGCCACTTTAAAAAACAAAACAGTCTACATCTTTGAACTGAGCATTGAGGATTTAGCATAAAATGTTGTAAAACAACTTTCATTACAATTAAATTTAGTTATTCAGAACTTTGGGAGAAAATCAGGAAAGTAAATCAAGTTAATCTCTTGGTTTTTCTTGTTTTGAGCAGAGGTCACATCTGTTAAATCTTTTTAGTACTACAATGCCTTATTTAGAAAAATAATTTGTAAATTCTTATTAAATGAATTGAAATACACAAATTCATTTCTTTCTTTCAGAAACAAAGAACTGTATGTGTTACCAAGGAGAATGTGTCCCAATAACATACTTTTTAGTTGAAAACTTAATTACCAGAAGTAACAAAAGGATGTGTATTAGGGCATCAGAGAAGGGATTAGTATGAAAATGAAATTTTGAGACATCAGTTTGCTACTCAAATTGACACTGATTCAGCAAACAGAAGCATTTAAATTTCATTTCCAAGCCCACTTAGTAAATCTAGTTCTAGTTAGAGCATCTTTAATGTACAAAAGCTCTGTGAAAGAAAGTATTCACCATGCAAGACACAGATAGGGTTCCCTTAACCTACTGCCCTCTGCACACATCACTCTCTGTTAAACAGGCAGCTAACGCCAGATGCTCTTGCTAAAAATGGTCACAGATGGTCAGTTGTCCAGTTAACAGAACATACTGCCCTCCCAATAGCCGAAAGTAAGAAGGAAAGGAGTGAGAGCTCTTAACACTTGCCTGCTTAGTGGGTTATACCCGTTCAACTTGCTATAAGCTCAGCTAGGCCCCAGTGGTGTCTAAGAAAGACTATAGACCCTAGGGCTCTCAAGAGTAAAAGGCATCTTAAAGGTGAGCTAGTCAACAGTTGTACAATGCTTGGATCAACTGCATCTCTGCTGGTCAGCCCGTTCCAGCCCTGGCTTGGAACCTCCAGGGGTGTGGAACCCACTGTCCAACAAGAAAGTCCTACAGCTGAGACACAGTCCCCTGTTAGCCTGCCCTGCAATTAGCCCAACTACCCAGGTCTAACTCCACAGTCAGGAAACATGGAGTTATTTTAACAGAAAGGCATACTGACTATAACAAAATAATTTCCCAGTTTATGCATTATACAGTGATTTTAAGCTGAATTACCCCAAGTAGTATACACAAAGGATTTTACAACATAAAAACACAGGCCGTAATATATGTGATTTACTTTTAAAACACAGAAGGAAATAAAAATTCATAGTACTAAAAGCTATTAGAGATTATAAAAAAATTTCAACAAAGATCAATGGGTCTTCTTTATATTTATATGCACCCATAGAAAATGTTTAAATTTTAAAGCATTGTTTTGTTTTTGTTTTAAGATTTCACTTATTTATTTGACAGAGAGAGAGAGAGAGAGCACAAGCAGGGGAAGCAGCAGAGGGAGAGAGAGAAGCAGGCTCAGGGAGCCTGATGCGGGACTCGATCCCAGAACCCTGGGATCATGACCGGAGCCGAAGGAAGATGCCCAACCGACTGAGCCACCCTGGCACCTCTAAAGCGTTGTTTTTAATTGACAAAATTTTAATAAGATGTTTCTCTAAACTTTTCACAAGCAGAGCATTATTCTGTTCTTCCCAATAAATTATTCATTTTTTTAAAATAAGCTACCTACGTGTTCAAGAAAAGTGCTCTATGAACTTATTTTTTGTATTTTCTACTTATTTATATTTCCTGAACAGTGAAGAAACTGGAAATACTGAGTTTGATGTGTGGTTTTTCATCAGCTATTGTCCCAAATCCCGTTTCTTACTTGATAACTTAGTACAACTCTTTTGAATAAATGATATGAACATAGAAAGGGAGAGCACACTGAGAAGCTGCGGCTAGAAATAAATGCTCCTGACTTTGGTGACAGGTTTTGCTACCACCACACCTCTGCATCAATGGTTTTAAGGAAGGTCACCCTGGAACATATGTAACTTCTCATCATTTATAAAACTGTGTGACAGGGATCAATAGTGAAATTTATTTAAGCAAATGTAGATTAAATTAAAATCCAAGACAATAAGATTAGAAGCAAAATGCCATCTGGAAAACTACAGCAAAGAACCAGAGGATGGGATCCTCCTACGTGCCTGCCTCTAAAAACAGACTCCCACCATAGCTTGTCACCGTGCAGGGTCTCAGGACTACTGCTGTTTTCACAGGTTGTGCCGTGAAGCCAGAAAAGCAAATGGAGCTATCCCAGTGGGGTCACTATGCCCCTTTCCCTTCTGCACTCCAAAGGGTAGTCTGTGATGGGAAGAGCCAGAGAGCACTGTAAAATTCCAGTATGCGCAGAAGGTGCTCTAACAATTCAGTAGGAATCTAGTTGGGAATCATAGTTAAAGTTGCTGCTTTAACAAATAACTAAGAAATAACTGAGCATGCATTTTACAACTTGAGTATCTGTTTATATCCATGTACTTATTGTAGACATAAGTCTCCTTACTTTCCATTAAACATGGTCACATTATGAAATTCTTCACTCAGCAAAGATAAGATGAACAGAGAATAAAAGTGTCTTTTGGAACTGTGATAAACCCAAACACAAGGCTGAGTGCTTTTTCTGTGTTACAGCTACAAAAATAAATATGTATAGTGACATGGTCATATGTAAGAGCATTATTTTGTACATAATTTAAATATATTTTATATGTGAAAATAATGCACCTACAAAGCACTCTCCGGCAATTTCTAAATTAATCATTGTCTATTTTCTGCTCATTTTGTGATATTGCTATTTCACGTACATCATACACTCACAATAATTGATCAGATCTCACTCTACCAGAAGTTAACTGTAGAAAGAAAAGCAGATGCCCAGAGGTGGGGGAAAGATAGAAAGATACCATGGTTATCTGACGCCTTGTCAGTTCGCTCACAATGGTGAGTCAAAGACCAGCACAGAGTTAAGCAGGAGGATATACACAGTGATGTCATAAAGGCAATTCTCTTTCTACTAGTAAGTCAGTTCTTCTGCCCTATATCCAAAAACTCTTTTCCCAACTGGTCAGAGAGGAAGGAAAAAAGGAAAGTGCAGTATGGACTCACTCACCTAAACCACTGAGAGTGTAGAGAAGGTCACCGGTATCTAAGAAAATGGGTCCATTTTCCTGCTGCCCTTCTTCTTTGTAGTACAGCTTGTAGCCCTGAATGGTTGCTGTGTCCTCAGCATCTTGCTGCCACTTCACAGAAATGGTGGTACAGTTCAGAGGCTCCAAATGTAACTCTGGAGACTTAGGGGCTAGAAAAAGCCAACAGAAATGTATGCATAAAAAAATCCATAGTTCTTCTCTGGAAAACAGTATGGAGGTTCCTCAAAAAGTTGAAAATAGAGCTACCATATGATCCAGCAATTGCACTACTGGGTATTTACCCCAAAGATA